TCTTATTCCCCCCTCTTCTTATTCCCCTCCCTCCCCTCTTCTTACCCCCTCCCCTCCTCCCTCTCTTCTTACCCCCTCCCCTGTAGCGTGGCCGAGCTGCACTCCGGTCCGCGGTGGCCGGCCGGCCGGAGTGATAGGAAGGTGCACACTCAGTGTGCACTTCCTGTCAGTCCGGTCGGTAACAGGAAACAGAAACTCCGCGCGGAACAGGGTTTCTGTTTCCTGTTACCGGCCGGACTGACAGGAAGTGCACACTCAGTGTGCACCTTCCTATCACTCCGGCCGGCCGGCCACCGCGGACCGGAGTGCAGCTCGGCCATGCTACAGGGGAGAAGCTGCAGCCGCCTGACCGCTCTTCACAGAGCGCTCGCTCAGGCGGCTGCAGTATTTAAAAGGCCGGCCCCAGGTGCCGACGGCCCACCGGGAAATTTCCCGGTATCCCGGTGGGCCAGTCCGGCCCTGGCAGAGGGTATAGGGAGGCGGAAGGGACTTCAAGAGGGAGGGAGGGGGGACTCTGTTTGCAGGGGTGAAGCTAATTACATCAGTTGCAACTTGCCAGTGTGCAGTGCACATTGAAGACGGACGTTAATTATGGACCAGATCAGCCTAATGCACTTATCATATTTTAAAGGTCTTTTCACCCATCAATTCAGTTTAAGTTTAAACTAGCAGCTTTGGGGGGCACTGTGTGTATAATATCTATGTATCTTTTTATAAGTAAATAATAAAAAGTTAATTTTTAAGTTAGTCACTTTTTTTTTTTTTTGTCTATTTGGAAATATTTCAAAGTTTCTGATAAAGACATCCAATTTGCAGTCTGTAGTCTTTGTTCAGCTGAAATTTCAAGAGGCACTTTTCCACAACATGGTTGATACACCCCCTGAAAACACGACATCCAGTTCAGCATGAAGAGTACAGAGAAGCAACAATGCTTAAAAGTACCCCAACTACTAGCACACCAACACCATCTGTCGCCACAGTCTTTGAAAAAAACTAAGAAATTTGCAAATGATC